ATGTGAGTGAGGTTTCTATGGCTTAACAATCCTTGATCATTATTGTTCGATTTTGACCAATATCTGACCGCCAACCGAATAGAAAAAATGAACAGTTTCGAACAAAGCATTGGTCGACATTGGTTGACAGAATCTCCAACCTGAAAGACTCAATTTGAGTAACGTCCACCACTAAACTCAAATTGCCCCCCATGAACCCATGAACACTCCAATTAAAGAAACAAAATTTACATTTCATAAATAAATAAGTAATATTTACTAATAGTCAAGGCCTTATTAATTAACCTAAAAAATAAGTCATATATAGCCATCCTAGTTTTTCTTACCAATTTCTCATATAAATATTTCATAGCAATTAGTTTCTTGCAAACTGCCAAGTTGAGAGAAGAGAGAGAGACAGAGAGACAGAGAATCATGGATAGCAAGCAACCCAGTATCCTAATTTTGCCATGGTTAGCTCATGGCCATGTATCACCTTTCCTAGAGTTAGCCAAGAAACTCTCTCAAAGAAACTTCAATATATACTTCTGCTCTACACCAATCAATCTAAAACCCTTAAGAGAAACCCTTCCTCTCAACCTCTCATCCTCAATACAACTCATAGATATCCACCTTCCATCACAAAACCTCCCTCCTCACTACACACACCAAAAGACCTCCCTCCCCACCTCATGGCCACCCTCAAAACTGCTTTCGATGACACAAACCCGCCTTCTTCACCATCCTCAAGACCCTCAAACCAAACCTCATTATCTACGATTTCCTACAACCCTGGGTCCCAATTGCAGCTCGCAAAGAAAACATCGAGGCTGTTGTTTTCCTGACATGCAGCGCAGTGTGTTGTCTTTTTCAACTCACTGCTCCGATGATCCAAACAAGGATTACCCTTTTCAGAACTCAATTTCCCAACAGTTCAACGCCAGAAAATTGTTCAGTTTTATGTATGACACTTCAAATGGCCTCACAAACAGGGAAAGGTTCTTAGGATGCATCGAAAGTCTTCGAGCTTTGTGTTGATCAAGACATCAAACATGATCGAGGCCAAGTATGTTGATCATCTGTGGTTTAGTAGGGAAAGAGATTATTCCAGTCGGGCCTCTCGTTCAGAAACCCTACAAGAAATGATGATGATGAAGTGATTATGAGTGGTTGGACAGGAAGAGGTTAGTTCAGCTGTGTTTGTTTCCTTTGGAGTGAGTGTTTTCTTTCCAAACAAAGAATTGAAGAGATAGCTCATGGGTTAGAGCTCAGCCAAGTGAGTTCATATGGTTGTTAGGTTTCATGGAGAGGAGAAAACCTAGGTTCTCATGAGGTCTTACCAGAAGGGTTTTGGAGAGATTGAGAGATAAGGCTTGGTACTAGAGGGGTGGGCCCTCAGGCAAATATTAAGGCACCCAAGCATTGGTGGGTTTCGAGTCACTGTGGTTGGAGTTCAACCCTAGAGGGTGTGATGTTGTGTCTGCCCAATCATAGCCATGCCTATGCAAATTGACCAGCCCTTGAATGCCAAGGTGGTGGTGGATATTGGTGTGGGAATGGAGGTCAAGAGAGATAATGAAAGGTTGAGAGAGAGGAAGTGGCAAGAGTGATCAAACAAGTGATGGATCAAGAAGATGGGAAGGAGGTGAGAAGGAAAGTTAAAGAATTGAGTGAGAGAGGATGGAAAAGAAAAAATGATAGGAAGTTTTGATTTGAATTGAGAGAAATTGGTGCAGCTTGTTAGGAAATCAAAGAGCTTTGAGAAAATTTTCAATAATAAATTATACTTTTTTCACAAAAAGTTTCATTTAATCCTATTAACACTATATTTTTAGGGTAAAATGATCTTAGTAGGACTAAAAGAAAATTTGTGAAAAATTAGGACTTGTTTTAATTTTATTTATTTTTTTCAACATAAAAAATTATAACTTTTTTTTCACCAGAAAAATGTTTCATTTTAAATCCTATTAAACCCATTTGTAGGGTTAAATGATGCACCTTAATGGTAGCTAATTAGGAATATTTGTTGATTGAGAAAATTAGGACTAGTTTAATATTTAATTTTAATTTTTTTTTGCGCAAAATTATTGCGTTTTCTGAGGAAGAATACTACCTAATAAAAATATCGTATAGTGATAGGCTTGATTGATGCGTGTTATTTTTTTTTATAACGAAATTTTGAAATAGAATAATTAACCATAGGGTAATGATTTATTATACAGCATTTTAGTGAGGCGAGAGAGAATTTTGCTACTCTATGGGCAAAACCCCAACGGTCCTAAGATGTGAATATTTAGATACAGGCAAATCACAAATAAATTTTCTAAAATTTATTCAAAATATTAGACTTCTCTATAGTTTTAGAAAATTAATAAATATTATTGTATCAGAATTAATAAAAAAGAATAAAATTTTAACTACTACTCATTTTACTCAATAATAAAAATTATAGTGAATTTGCTTAATTGAAATATTTTTTCTGTGTATCATTAAAATTTTTAATTGACTTGATATCATATTAATATAAAGATAATTCATTTGATAATTTAATTTGAAATGTGAATGGATGGTAATGGAAATGTTAATTTCGAAAAATCACAAGATCTAATCTATATATAAACAAATTCTTAAGAGGTGTTGTATAATTACTTAATATAATGTATAATATTGTGCATAGACTATTACTATTTAAACAGATAAAAATTCCACAATATGTATAGGATGATGTGGGTACTATATTTCTGAATCGTGTGATTAAAAAAAAAAAGAAAAGAAAAGAAGATTGGTATCCGTGTTGGTGAGAATAAAAAAAAAAGAATATATATATATATATATATATAGAAAAAGAAAATAAAAAGAATGGTGGGTGGTGGAAACAATTATGGTGGAGGGACAAAAAGTGGCTAAGGTGGGAGAGAGGAAATAGAATATATGGAGAAGCTTTTACAGGTTGTATCAGAGAGAGAGAAGAAGTGGGGTGGGTGGGTGTGTGTGTGGTTATTCTTTAAAAACCATGCTGTTGGGTGGTAGTGGGATCATGTGGGGGAAGAAAAATGAGCTGTCCTTTGTATTCTGAATTGTTGCCTCAGACCCACATGGATTGTGGCCAAAAACCCGTGAAATAATTTCATCCCTGCTAGAGTTCTCTGCCCATGGACTTTGTTTTCTTATTCTTTGATGTTGTTTGGTTGACAAGAATCTTCAAGAAATTAGGAAGTCTACAACATGGAGAGCTCGACTGTTTGGTTGTTGATGAGGATAGTGGTGCTGTGGCAGTATGTGAAGGAAGGCTAGCGGCTGATCTTGTCCTCCACGGATCTGTCCCACTATGCTTTCCATTATTCACAGTTTAGCTTAGAAAGGAGGATCTATGGTCTACTTTTAAGCACACAGATCCAACTTTGCTCTGAAATTTCTTTCTCCAATAACATGTATGGAGGTCGCAACACTTCCAGTGATCGCTAAGTAATCACCTTGAAGATTCTGGTAGACAAGACCAGAATTTCATCAGTGATAGAGAGAGTTGTTGCCATCAGTGATCTGCGTAGAGCAGAGAGAGAGAGACAGCTTCTTTTCGTAGAGAGAGAGTAAGAGAGTTGAGTTGCAGACATGGTGTTCGACGAAATGTACCAGAGGAATTTTGGGTTTGCTCCGGCGAGGTGGTGAAGAAGAGTGGAGTGGAGGTGACCAAGATGGAATTTGTTAGAAACTACTGCAGCAGCAACAAGAAGAAGATCAAGATCAAGAAGAATAATTTGTGGCAGCGGAGTGAAGATATGTGTAGAGGTCCGGCGGGCGGCCAAGGCGAGGCTGCCGCCCGCCGGTGAAGCAGAATTACTAGGTTCTTAACCTAGCTCTGATACCATGTAAGAATTAATGTATAGAGAAAGAGAGAAAATAAATTATGTATATATTGATTGATGTATTACAAGATTGTTCTGTATATTGATTTGTATGTTACAAGCTATTATATAGGAGATGTGTGAGGTAAGTGAGTGGTGGTAGTGGATGGTAGTGGAGGTGGTGGGTGGTAGTGGAGATGGTAAGTGTGTTAGGTTTAGTGGGGTGGATGTAGTGGGTTAGGTTTAGTGTACATTAACAAGTTTGTTTGAAAAGTGAATTAACTTTTTAACTTAAGATTAAAAAGCCTCCTCACAACAATCCTTTTTATTCTCTCTCCTCTCTCTCAGTCTCCCTCTATTTCAAATTACAGCATCAAGCTTCCGATAATCAAACAGTAATTGCAAAAAATGCTCTCCTTCACAATCTCCTCTATTTATGGTTGGCAGTGGCGATAGCGATGAGCGACCATGGCATAATCGGTGTGCCTTCTCTGTCTTCCATTTTATTTTCTCCACTATTTTTACTCTTAGGTTTGGATTTGTGTTTCTAAGTTGTGTTTGAATCATTTTCTTTTCTTTCCTTTCTTTTTTTGATCTGTGCATGTGAGTGAGGATTCTATGGCTTAACTATCCTTGATCATTATTGTTCGATTTTGACCAATATCTGACCGCCAACCGAATAGAAAAAATGAACAGTTTCGAACAAAGCATTGGTCGACATTGGTTGACAGAATCTCCAACCTGAAAGACTCAATTTGAGTAACGGCTCCACCACTAAACTCAAATTGCCCGACCCATGAACACTCCAAATTAAAGGAAACAAAATTTACGATTTCATAAATAAATAAGTAATATTTACTAATAGTCAAGGGCCTTATTAATTAACCCTAAAAAATAAGTCATATATAGCCATCCTAGTTTTTCTTACCAATTTCTCATATAAATATTTCATAGCAATTAGTTTCTTGCAAACTGCCAAGTTGAGAGAGACAGAGAGAGAGAGAGACAGAGAATCATGGATAGCAAGCAACCCAGTATCCTAATGTTGCCATGGTTAGCTCATGGCCATGTATCACCTTTCCTAGAGTTAGCCAAGAAACTCTCTCAAAGAAACTTCAATATATACTTCTGCTCTACACCAATCAATCTAAAACCCTTAAGAGAAACCCCTCCTCTCAACCTCTCATCCTCAATACAACTCATAGATATCCACCTTCCTTCACAAAACCTCCCTCCTCACTACCACACCACCAAAGACCTCCCTCCCCACCTCATGGCCACCCTCAAAACTGCTTTCGATGACACCAAACCCGCCTTCTTCACCATCCTCAAGACCCTCAAACCAAACCTCATTATCTACGATTTCCTACAACCCTGGGTCCCAATTGCAGCTCGCAAAGAAAACATCGAGGCTGTTGTTTTCCTGACATGCAGCGCAGTGTGTTGTTCTTTTTCAACTCACTGCTCCGATGATCCAAACAAGGATTACCCTTTTCAGGAACTCAATTTCCCAACAGTTCAACGCCAGAAAATTGTTCAGTTTATGTATGACACTTCAAATGGCCTCACAAACAGGGAAAGGTTCTTAGGATGCATCGAAAGGTCTTCGAGCTTTGTGTTGATCAAGACATCAAACATGATCGAGGCCAAGTATGTTGATCATTTCTGTGGTTTAGTAGGAAAAGAGGTTGTTCCCAGTCGGGCCTCTCGTTCAGAACCCTACAAGAAATGATGATGATGAAGTGATTATGGAGTGGTTGGACAGGAAAGAGGTTAGTTCAGCTGTGTTTGTTTCCTTTGGGAGTGAGTGTTTTCTTTCCAAACAAGAGATTGAAGAGATAGCTCATGGGTTAGAGCTCAGCCAAGTGAGTTTCATATGGGTTGTTAGGTTTCATGGAGAGGAGAAAACTATGGTTCCTCATGAGGTCTTACCAGAAGGGTTTTTGGAGAGGATTGGAGATAAGGGCTTGGTACTAGAGGGGTGGGCCCCTCAGGCAAAGATATTAAGGCACCCAAGCATTGGTGGGTTTGTGAGTCACTGTGGTTGGAGTTCAACCCTAGAGGGTGTGATGTTTGGTGTCCCAATCATAGCCATGCCTATGCAAATTGACCAGCCCTTGAATGCCAAGGTGGTGGTGGATATTGGTGTGGGAATGGAGGTCAAGAGAGATAATGAAAGGTTTGAGAGAGAGGAAGTGGCAAGAGTGATCAAACAAGTGATGGATCAAGAAGATGGGAAGGAGGTGAGAAGGAAAGTTAAAGAATTGAGTGAGAGGATGGAAAAGAAAAGTGATGAAGAGTTTGATTTGATGATGGAGAAATTGGTGCAGCTTGTTAGGAAATCATAGAGCTTTGAGAAAATTTTCAATAATAAATTATACTTTTTTCACAAAAAGTTTCATTTAATCCTATTAACACTATATTTGTAGGGTTAAATGATGCTTAGTAGGACTAAATAGAAATTTTGTGAAAATTAGGACTTGTTTAATTTTAGTTTCTTTTTTTCAACAATAAATTATACTTTTTTCACAAAAAGTTTCATTTAATCCTATTAACACCCTATTTGTAGGGTTAAATGATGCCTTAGTAGGACTAAATAGAAATTTTGTGAAAAATTAGGACTAGTTTAATTTTAATTTTATTTTTTTTGAATTATTGGTTTCTAGGAAGATACTAATAAAAATATGTATGATTGATAGCTTGATTGATGCGTGTATTTTTTATTTAATCGAAATTTTGAAATAGAATAATACCATAGGGTAACTTTGATTTTATACAGGCATTTTGTAGTGGAGAGAGAATTTGCTGCTCTAGGGCAAAACCCCAACGGTCCTAAGAGTGAATATTAGAATACAAGGGCAAACTACAAATAAATTTTCTAAAATTTATTTAAAATATAGACTTGCTCTTATAGTTTTAGAAATTATAAATATTTATTTATCAGAATTAATAAAAAAAATAAAAATTTTAACTACTCTTTTATACAATAATAAAATTATATGAATTGTTAATTGAAATATTTTTCTGGTATCATTAAAAATTGTTAATTGACTTGATGATATATTAATAAAAGGAATCATTTGTAATGTAATTGAAAATGTGAAGGGATGGAATGGAATGTAATTTCGAAAATCACAAGAGTCAATCTATATATTAAACAAATCTTAAGAGGTGTGTTTTATAATTTACTTTAGATATAATGATAATATTGCATGACTATTACTGATTAAACAGAAATTTCACAATGTGATAGGAGGGACTAACTGATCGGATTAGTAGAAGACAAAAGTGTCCACGTAACATCATTTGCCATGTTTTATTGATGGATAACACCACTTGAGATAATATAATTGTTCACTCAATATTTGTTTTAGGTTCAGTTTAAATAAATCAAACAAAAGGAAAAAAATACCAACTGTGGGCTCCTCCTTTTTTTAAATCCATCATACATCTTTTAATGGAGAATTTGTTTTTAAAATAAAAAATTAATTTTAAGTCTTAATATTTTGTGTCAAAAATTTAATAATTAAAAGTCAAATACAAATAAATTTGTTAATGACTGATGAAAATTTTTGTCATTGTGTGATCCTATGTAAAATAAACTCATAAAAATAATTTCTTTCAAAATTTAAAAAAAAAAAAAAAAACAAACAAACAAAAAGGTATGCTCAACTTGAAATCAATCCTCATTTGTATTAATCAAATTTATCAAAAATTATGAATTCCGCTGGTCTCAAAATAGTTTTTTCTAAAAAAAATAATAAAAATAACAGAAAATTCTATAATATACAAATTATTACTTGATTATAACTCATAGTGTATTATTTTGGTTATTAATCAAAATGGTCTTTGTTAATGTCTTATATTTTTTACTATGTCTAAAATGGTGCATCAGATCTTTAATTATACTTTAGGTGGTGTTTGATTATGATTTATTATAATATTTTTATATAATAATATTTTAAGTATTTTATTATACGAAAAAGTACTTAAAGTGGGTTGACTCAAAAGTAAGATTTATACTTGTATTAGTAAGATCGTAAGAATTATTCACATTGATGTATAAAAAATTACAAATTCAAATCATAAATAGTGTTCTCAAAGGAAATCAGGCACAAAATCTCTATAACATTAATAATTTCAGTTCTCAAAGGGGTTCTGATTAATTATGTGACATATCATAATACCCGCAAAAATTTTATTCCAGCCAAATTATTTTTGAATATCTTTTATGGCAGAGCTCATGAAGGTGCATTATCAGTAATAATATAAATTCAAAATTTTTATGTAATAATATAAATTCAAAATTACTCAAGAAACATCAATAGGTTGCCTTAAATATACACAATTATTTTTGATGAATCATTATTCTATAATACTCCACACTATTTATCATTTGATATTTGTCAATTTATTTTCTAAAAACTTAACAAAAAAAAGTATTGAGTTCCATTATTTTAATCAATCAATATCAAATTAGACACTACACGTATGTAAATCATTTATAGAAATATGATATCTGATATAAAATTACAATAGAATTAACTTTAATTAATGTAATGATATTTTATATTATGATATGTGTTACAAAATAATAACATTTATTTTAATTTAAAATAAAATTTAAATTTAAATTATTTATTTTAATAATTTTAGTCTTATCATTCTATTAAAATGTTATTTGAATACTTATATAAAATAAATTCAGTTAAATTATTTGTTTATTTGTTTGGACGGATTTGATAAGGGGAGATTAGAATTCACCGGACTATTTGTCCTAGGATACATTGTCCCGGACTATTTGGTTGAACTGGATTTGTATCCTACGTTTATTTAGTCATGAGATTAGATGTCTGGATTGGACTATTCTATTGAATCCTATGTTTGTTGGGGATATTATGGAGAACGATAAATGCTCAAATGATTATTTTATCCATTTCAATTATTTACTAAGTAATAGCAATATTAAACATATCTTTAATATTTTAATTATTTTTAGCTAGATTACAATTAAATAATTTTTTTTAAATTAAATAAACAAAATATCAATAAAAATATATGTTATTTTTTAATTAAAATTTTAAATAAATTTATTTTAAAAAATAATAATAATTAAATAAAACATCTATTAAAATTTAAATAATGAAATTAAATAAAATATAAAAAAATTAAAATAAAACATCAATAAAATATCTATAAAAAATTATTTTAAAAAAATTAAATGCATTCAAATTCAATAAAAATTGAATAAAATTATTTTATTTTTAAATTGAGACATTTAGTTTTTTTTTGAATTTTACTAAATATAATAAATAATTAAATAGTAGAGGGTCTAAATGATCATTTTACCACCTAATCCTATATCTTCCCATATCCCCCATTTGTGTCACACCCCGCCTCCCCCCCCCCAATGGGACACAATAGTCCAACATATTTGAGACTAATAGTCCAACAAAAATTTTGAACCAAATAATAGACTATTAGTCCGGAGAGACTATTAGTCCAATCTCATGGCTCAATCTCTCAAAACAAACACTACTTAAAAGTATAATTATCATATAATGATTTTATATTATATATTATAAGATACTAACATTAACACTCACTTTGATATTAAAAATAATAGTTAAATTAGAAAAAGAATTAGTGATATAAAACTAAAAATGATTCTAATTATTTAATTTTATTTTTATTTTTACATTTATTTAGAAAAAAATATATAGAGAAATAGAATTACAAAAAAAATTATTTAAAATATTAAATACAAATATGTTGTGATTGGATTAAGAAGAAAATACATAAATTATGTAAGGAACGTGTTTGTTAGGTTGTAATATTGTACTTTTATGCCTTTGGGCTTATGTTGATATTGTAGTGGTGGAACACTTGTTTTGTGACATAATCCAATTTTAGGGACAAAATTTCTTAAGGTGGGATTATAGTGGCCCGGATTGAGACCCGACCCGATCTTTTTATACTATTATTTATGGGTTGGTGTTCACTTTGATATGAGTATTGCATCTTTGGGTTTTGTTGTCTCCGGAGACCCTGTTTTGTACGTGACATATTGGCAAATTTCTTCTCTATTATTAAGGTCATGCCCGTGACTATCTTGTTGGTTGCCACGATGGTGCTAGGTTGCTCCCGCAATGGGCCACAACCAGGCCGCGATGAAAAATACCTCTCCGTACTTTTGTCTGTGGGTTATGTCTATGCCCACGATGGTTAGGTCGAGCATGCGACTAGGGTACGTTCACGCCCGCGATGGCCGCGACCATATGTGTCCTTCAGGTCTTTGTATGGATGAAAAGTGCATAGCCCATGAGGGGTCACGAGTGTTGGCTGCGACTTGAGGATTCACGCTCGTGGTGTGGTTGTCTGCCGCCGCGACTATGTCTTTCATGCCCGCAATGCGTCTTTCTATATATACATATCACCAAAAAGCTACAAATATCTACTTTTTTAGCTCATCTTCTTTTCTCTCTCTAGACCGTCATTTTTAGCCTCTAAGCTATAAACTCTTATCCATCTAATTATATACATTTCTTACCCCTAGTGCTCAAGGCTTTAAGGTAGAGTAAGTTGAGGGTTACATTTTGATCTGGAAATTTCAAGTTTCCGGCATCATTGGTTTTCAGGGGTTGTTCTTCCTCTTCTCGGGTATTGAGGTAGGGATTTCTTTAATATTTCTACATGATTTGCATTTTGGGTTTGATTTGGGTGGATTTGGTTTGATTTGGGTTTGAACTTGAGTTATAAAAAATAGAGTTTTCTTGAAAATTATAGTAGAATGATTTTGGTATTGAGAATTTTGAATGTGAAATGTTGAAAAGGATATCTGTTTGGGGTATTTAGAAATCTTTGGGTATCCATGACATGAATAAATGATAAGGGAATTGTTGAGATTTGAAGTGATATTTTGATAATATATGTTGGGTTGGAAAGTGGAGATGAACATGAAGTATTGAAAGTTTATATTTATAGTCATCTCTTCAATTTGTTTCGCATATAGAGATCTCTGTTTAGTTTTGATTGTTATAGAAATTGCATGAGAACTAAGTTAACTAAAACCATTTACTCATGCATTTTTCATTTGAACATGGTTTCATATTTAAGTACTGAAAAATATATCGTTTTGAGAAAAATGGATAAATACCGTGATGAATTTGGTTAGGGAGTATGATTGTGGTTGTTATTTATATTGGCATGTGTGTCCTTGGTTAAAATCATAAACTCGCGCGGTTAGGTGACGATCTTTCCGGGTAGTACCAGTTAAATGACTTTGATAGTGCTTGCATAGCCTACTAGAAGACACGTATCTAGAGATTCTCAGTGTGTATCCACTACCGTCTTTTCTGTTTTGGAAGTAATGGTTTATGAATTTAACTATAAGCATAGCATTGCATTGTTTGAAAGAGAAAGGTGCATTGTTTTGGTAAATAACATTCATGTGCATTCACCCTATGACTTGGTTAAGCTTCATACAATATTTTAAAGTGATCTCTACTGTGTTGTAGCTCATCCTATGTGAAAATCAATTTTTAAGTGCTGATGATTTACCTCCACCAAGAGGATAACTTGAGAGGAAGTTGGAGCTAAGGCTTCTATGTATTAGACTTTAGTCCCACTTTTGTTGTAACCAAATATAATCTTGGAAACATGTAGGCACTAAGACATGAATTTGTAATAGTTTAGATATTAGTACTTAACAATCACTTGCTATAGATTTAGAATGTACTATCAATGAATGTATCATGCATGTGAACTAGTTTGTAATATTATGATGTTGTAAAGTATTTGGAGATCTCAAATGTATATATGAACATGGTTTAGTTTCGCTTATTGTATGGATAAATGTCAGTTATGGAAAGTCCA